CTTGTGCCTGAAGATCAGCTTTGAAGAGATTGCCTTCTTCCCAGGAGGCAGCTCACACAGCTCCCATGTCTCATTCTCCAAAAGAGAGTCATACTCCTCCTTCACACTCTGCTTCCACTTCTCAGCATCGGGCCCACTCAAGGCCTCAGCTAGCGTCTTGGGCTCAGGGACGGCTGCCCAGTAGCAGTGTGCTATCTCATCCTCATCACACTGCTCAGCCACACTCCCAGCCCGTACCACCTTTGGCTTTCCAAAACTAGGATAGGTCAGCCTGTTAGGAGGGCGCACATCCCTCCTAGGACGGTCTGGCAGACGTTGGGTACGTGGTGGAGCATCTTGCTGTTGCTGCTGCTGCTGCTGCTGCTGCTCCTCCACCTCAGGTTCTCCCCCATCCTCAGTCACCCCAGAGATCTCCTCATCTGAGACAGTGACCTGCACTTGCCTCGAAGGCCGCTGCACCTCATCGGCCTCAATGATCAGTGGTGTAGTAGGAAGCTTTTGCTGCTGCTGCTTCCACTCTTTGTAGTACAAGGACTCAAGGAACTTCACATCCCTTGACACAGTCAGCTGCTGGCTGGTCAAGTCCCATATCAACCAGCCCTTATGATCCTTAGCAAGCCCCAAGTGTACTCCCCATCTCCCAGAAGCCTCCAACTTTCCCCTCTTCTCCTTAGGCACATGAAACACCACCATGCAGTCATAGGCTCTCAGCATGCTGACTGCTGGTGCACTCCCATACCACTTGGTGTAGGGGACCCACTGCTTGTCCCCCACAGTCGCCAACACCCTGTTCTTCACAAGGGCGACCTGCCGCAGTGCAATCACCCAAAACGGATCCGGCAGCTCTGCACGCCCAAGGAGAGTGCGAGCACCTTCCTGCAGGGTCCGGTTGAAGCGCTCAGCCACGCCGGTTCATTACCTTACTCAACCGTGCTCCTATGGCAGACCTCTCACTCAACTATTCTGTCAACCACTTCACTGGCTCTCACTACACACCTCGCAATCACTCCTCTCCTATGTTGCGGAAGACGCAAGACGCACGTTTAGACGCTAGACGCTTGGGCAAAAAAATTTTGGTCAGCCCGAAAAAAAAAACAAAATTCGCGCGCGCGAAATTTAATTTCGCGATTTCGAAGCGAAATTCAATTTGGCGACATTTGCACCCCGTCCCACCCATTTCGACCATAGAAACCAGCCCCCCAAGCAAATTTGATACCCCCTCAACCAAAATTGAACACAAACCTCACTGCACCGCTTAGTATCTAGAAAACCCAACATCTATGGCAAACCACCAAGAGGTTGGGGAGAACAAATCCCCCATTTGTGCTCCCCATCTTTCATTTCTACCAAATTCTCTTTCGAAAACCCTTTAGGGTTTTGCTAGTTCCCTCGCGAAACCATGCCGTCTCCTAGTCCCTAGGGACATATGTGACATATGTGCATGTCCCCCACCCTCCCCATGCCCCACAGAAGTTTTTTAGGCTGCCCGAACATTTGTTTTGGCCTGCCCGGGATTTCGTCTAATCTGGCCTGAAATGCGTCTAGCGTCTTAGACGCTGCGTCTAGACACGATGCTAGACGCGTCTTCCGCAACATTGTTCCTCTCTCCCCACCAAAATCGCTCCTTCACCTCCTCAACCTCAGCTGTAGATTCGTCTCCATCGCTCTCTCACCTCTCAACCTTCACTTACCTCCCTGCCTCTAACAGAACTGCCCTTCTGTCTCCTCCTCCGTCTCTGCTGCTGCGTGGGGTATCCATACCCCTCACTCATTGCATGTCTCCCTCTGGCTGGGCCCATTTTCCATCACCCCTACCCCCCAACCCACTCCCCCCAGAGCTGCCCCTCCTGCTCCTCGGCCTGTGCTGTGGAGGGGTATCCATCGCGCACACCCGTTCAGCCCGCTTTGCCACAGACGCCTTTGACCGCCTGCTGTTGCTCTCCCCGCTGCCCCCGGCGCTGCTGCCGGCCCTGGGGGGATTGTCAGTGGGAGTGATCTCACTGGCCTACCCCGAGGTGCTCTACTGGGGCTTCCAAAACATCAATGATCTGCTTGGCTCTAGGCCACTTGCCAGTGCACCTCAGGTACAGCACCTATCCTACATCACTCTCCTTTCTCCTCCTTTCTCCTCCCCTCTGCTATAGTCAGAATTCCACAGAGGGATCGTGAGTGCCCATAAAACCGCCCAAATAAAATTGATGAATGAAAGCCCCCTTTGTCCAAAACGTAGACACGATCTGTTGACTACTATTTGGGATATAGAAGCTCTAAACACACCTTTAATCCACACTAGGTAGTCCCCACAGGGCCACCTCCACGGGCCCTTGGGTGCTTGGAAGAACCAGCCCCTATCCAAGGGTGCGTGCTTGAAGAGGGAATTCACTAAGTGTGAAAATAATCGTGCGTTCTAGATTTTTCCCAAACTTCGTTGCGCAACGTTGACGACGAAATGGGCTCGTGTGCAGAATAGCTTTTCACGTCAATACGTTGATAGAGCAACTCAAGTCGCCAAGAAAATTCACAAATGATTTCCACTAGAAATGTTGATCACAATCAAGCACAAACACACATTTATATTTCTTCTAGCACACAAGCAAAGGAAATAGCAAAGCAGTTGTTTAATTGCGTTCTAGAATTTCGTCTTACTGTCTTGCAAAAGCGATTGCTCAACTCCTTGAGCTATTGGCCTATTCCACCACTTGAAAATACATGTTTTCAACTTTCAAAGACAATTACCTTTGCTGACTCAAATGTGTGCACTGTTCTAATGTAGTTCCAAGATGGCACTCATGAGTTTCATGCGAGTAATCGGTTGTAAAACGGTTTTTGCCGTTGAGAAAACGGAATAACCGTTTTGTAACTGCGTCAGAAACATTCTGCAAAGCGATGTGAATTTCGCGCGCAATTACTTGTTCGCCATGTCACAAAAGAGGAGACTCGAGATTCGGTGATTCAACTGAAATTTCAAGTCAAACTTCGAGCACCTTGCGAGATCCATCGGCACCCCTCGAAACACACGCGCATCCCTCAGGTGCGCGGTTATGCATGACTGAAAATCTCGGCCATGTTGTATAGTGCGATCGTGCACTGTCCTGACTCAGGCAGGGCGGCCACGATCGCATTGTCTGGTTGCGATCGTGTGCCCTGCGCACGCTCGCAACAGTGCGAGCCACGCGCCTGGGCCTGAGGGCCCACACGCGAGATGAGGACCCCACACGCGGGTCCTGATTCTCGCGCCCTTTGACCTTGACCAACGCGAGAGTCAACACACTCCCCCAGTCTAACTATCGAGCCCCACAAAAAACAAACTCATGGGACTTTCATGGGAGGCTCATTTGAGCCTCATTGGAGCTTCATGAAAGCTTTAATTTAAGCTTTCATGGGAGCTTCATTTGAGTGCTTCATGAGAGCGAGGAACACACAACAGAAAATGCACAAGCACACAATGCAACAACAAATGAAAATCAAAACACACAAAATTAAAGGACGATTGCGCATAGAACACACACAAAATGCAAAATGAAATGCACATCTCTCACGCCACAAATTATCTTCAACCAAAACACCCCGTTTTCCGTCATCGTCGGCGAATAGGCGATAGGTTGCCGTGCAAACCATGTATTGCACTCAACACGATCAGCCCCGACCAAGTGAAATGTTGAAATTTGAACAGAATTTAGCCTGATGTGAATGGTTTCTAATGGTTTATTGTATGCATAAATTATAAGTGTCAGCTATACGCAATGAGTGAAAACATTTGCTTGGTTGAAAACATGTCATTTCTTTAGTGCTAGAGAAAAGAGTACAACATTGTATTGGAAGACAATTCAGCGATTACCATCCTTTTGGAATCTCAGAGAAGGTTGAATCATGAGGGTAAAAAATGTTGTTGAATCATGCGAGTAGAAAATGTAAGAGAACGCTGGAAAATTTCATATCTAGGTCAGCAAAACCAACCAGACTTTGAGTCTTAATGTTATGATAATGTTTTCAATGATGAGTTAAAGAGACTATGAGTCAATTAGTCATCATACTTGCACTGTTTTGCAAGCTGCTTCTAGGAAATGTAAAATTTTGAAAGTGTGTAACACTTTCCAAAATTGTGTATTGTGCAATGCGAAGTGAATCGTATCGAAGCAAAGGCTTCAGCGAAACACTAGTCCCCCTCTTTTCAATATAAAAGAGGGGGCGAAGGCCATTTGGCCTTCACCCACGTTTTCATTTTCGAACTTTCGATTTTCAAGTTCCCAGCCCCCCCACCCTAGAATGAGATGTGATACACTTCTTATGATATAAACTGCCTGGGCGATAAATCTTGTACTTGACCCGTTGAAATGAGACGTTGCATTTGCAAGGCAAATTGCAAGCTTTCACAATTTCTACATGTCTCATAAAAAATGTGTGTCCCATTTGACCACCTATACTTATTGTCTTATTCTCTGCCTTTGCATTACTGGCATAACAATAGTGAAAGGGTGGCAATGGAAATGTTGCCAACAATGCAATATGACCATGAAACATTGTCTTCCAATGGCTGTCACATGCTGCTCTAGTGCTTGGTTGTCCTGAAACCCGATGACTACTTGCACAACGCAGCAAACATCTGCCACACAAAATTTCAAACTAATCAGAAACTGGTGGATGAGGTAGCAGCTGAAATAGTGGATTCGGGTGTTACCCACCAAAATAAGTGACATACATTTTCTGGGACGCTTCACGTGCTGTATATTGTTAGCCATAATTCTGAAATTCTGATGCTTGGTCGAGACTTTTTAAAGCACCTCCCCCCCAAAGAAAATGGAAGCTGAGCAGTCATGTATGCTGGATTAGAGTGCAGCCATACCACCATGGTGTATTGGAACAACACCCGCTATTTCCTCCGACTCATCTCCCTTACCAACCGTTGCGTTAAAAATACCATGTCAGTGGCTAGTGCACCTTGGGTGTCTTGACCTCTTTCAGGCCGCATTCATGCTGCTGCAAAGATCTGGTGTAGCAATATGCCAGGGCTGTGGCTCAGCAGGCAGCTTTATCACGCCATCACTGGTCATGACGAGAAGTTGTTTGCCGACTCTCTCAATAGCCCTGTTAGTGCCCAACGCCCATTGTCTTCCCCATACTCCCCTCTCCCCATCTCCCCACTTCCCCACTTCCCCACACCCCCCATTTCCACTCCCGCAGTCGACTTTCTCTCCAGCTAGTCGTCTTCGTGATGCTCATCACCGCCATCCGCCGCGGGTCTGGCCTGGTGGCTGGCGGCTACTCTCTCGCTTCATCAAGCAGCAGTCCTCACTTCTCCAAAGCCACTCGCTCAAAAGCCATTCTTCCCCCCCTGCTTTCACTCTCTCAGGTGGACTTTCTCCTCCAACTAGTCGCCCTCAAGGTGCTTGCCACAGCCATCTGCCGTGGGTCGGGCCTGGTGGGCGGCTTCTATGCGCCGTCACTGTTCATCGGGGCGGCACTGGGGCAGGCGTATGGGCGGCTGGCGAGTGACGTGCTGGTGGCTGTGGACCCAGAGTACAACCTGCAGTGGATCCAAGTGGCTGCCCCCCAGGCCTACGCCATGGTGCGTTGTGGTTTTTCTTTCTGTCCACTGTTGCGTAAGTGCCATGGTCTGATCCCTTAGAGGAGGCGTATGAGCAGCTGGCAAGTGACGTGCTAGTGGCGGTGGACCCCGAGTACAACTTGTAGTGGATACAAGTGGCCGCTCCTCAAGCCTATGCCATGGTGAGTGGTTTGTTGTCTGTCTGTCCACCACTGCACGCACGTACCGTGTTCTGATGCATGCGGGCAGGAGTACGGGCGGCTGGCCAGTGACATGCTGGTGGCTGTGGACCCCGAGTATAACCTGCACAGCTACACCATCGTGGGTGGTGGCCTATCTCGCTAGCTCCATAGCAACCATGGTCCGTTCCTTTGGAGCATGTGTATGGGCGATTGGTGGTTATGCACCCGGAGTATGGCGTCTCTAGTTTAGAGGTGCCTCGAAACTCTCCTGCAGGGAATCCAAATGGTAAGTTGGTGGGTGCTTCGCTAGCCTATGCCGTGATGGGTTGGTCTCATGGTGCTGCATGTCTGAGCATGGCATGGAGCAGCATGGCATGGCAACAACATCAGCATGACCACCGCATCATCATGGCCGCCCTTTCCCTCTCTCCTTCTCTCATCTCTGTTATAGTTACAATATGCTCAAGTATGCTTAAAACGAAAGACACAGTGCACAAACGGATTTCGACCGAACGTTTTCAAGCATTGATAGCGTTCTGCTCACAACGCTAAATGAGGTGCTATAAATTGGATCTGGAGCGCCTTAAAATCGCATACAATTGGCAAATTGAATCACTTGATTTGGTAACGAACTGACGTCGTAAGAGTAATTTGAACGAATGGCAGTCTAGTAGCAACTATAGTTTTGGAGCATAATAGAAAAAAAAAAATTCGAGTTGGGAATGATTCCCAAGCTTTACAACCCCAAGAGCCAAGGTCCAGGGAGGTAGAACAGTGCCACATAGTCTCCAACCTCGAAATGTGTGAAAACCACACATTGCAAAGGTCTAAACCAAGAAATATGTTACACTACACAATGCAATGTAATTATTTCCACTATTTTAATGTTTACCCTTTTGGCGAGCTCGAAAACCACTTGTAACTTGAAACCAAGGCTCTAAGTTTTCAACATAAATTCTTCCTTGAGTTCTTCAAGTCTTGTTGCACACACCTGCGATACGCCGAACATTCGACACAAGATAAAAGCAGAAAACACTCACAACACGCGACTAGCGAAAACTCGTTATTGACTCGCCACACACATTCGACATGACTCATCATTCACACATCATTATGAGCTTGAGATATAGATTAAATTATATTCTTATACCATTCCGTGCAAACATACACGCACGCACAATGACAATAATCCGAGTGCAAACCATGGGGTTGCACCAACACTCTCCTCTCCCTGTCTACCTGCCTCCTCTCTCCTCCCCCTCGCTCTGTCTTCTCAGGTGGGCATGGCAGCAACGCTAGCCGGAGTGTGCCTGGTGCCACTCACGTCGGTGCTGCTCCTCTTCGAGCTCACTCGAGACTACCGCATTATTCTTCCCCTCATGGCCGCTGTTGGCATCGCCGCTTGGATCGCTGCTCCTGCCACCACACCACCATCATCCCCATCACCAACAGCACCAGCAGCAGAAGTAGCAGCCGCGCCAATGGCAGTATCACCAACAGCAACATCACAGCAATCAACCTCCTCCTCCCTACCACCCGTCCCACCCTCCCTAGAAGCCACACCCGCCACTCCCTCCTCTCCCTGCTCACCATTCCCCACGCCTCTCCCGCTCGCGATCTCTTTCCCATGGGACTTCACGGATTTCTCAGATGACTCGGCATCGCTGGATGTGCGCGACGGAGTGCTGCTGGAGGAGCAGGTGCAGCGCGACCTCCCCGTCTCCACTGCCATGCGCCCCGCCTCCAGCCCTTCCCTTGCCGCCGTGCCGCTGCTGCTGGTGCGGCCGCGCGGGTACCGCCCACAGGGTAGGGGAGATGGAGAGGCAGGGTATAGGCCACAGGGTATCGGTGTGAGGGATAGGGGGTATATGGTGCAGGAAAGGGGTGGTGGGGGGGCGGAGAATAGGGCGAGCACGGTGGGGGTAGCAACCCCCGATTCAAATCAAGGAGCAAGGGGTGTGGGGGAGGTGGAGTATAGGCCGAGCACGGTGGGTGAGGCGGTGGCAGCGATGGTGGCGAGCCGGCAGTGGTGCTGCGTGGTGGTGGGGGATGGGGGCCGGTTGGAGGGGCTGCTTACACTGGTGGACGTGCAACAGGAGGTGGAGAGGAGGGTTGCTGCAGAGAGAAGGGGAGCAGGGAGAGGAGGGAGGGGTGGGAGGAGAGGGCGAGGAGTGAGAAGGGCGAGAGGGGGTGCAGGGGGGGAAGGGAGGGAGGGGGCAGGAGAAGGCAGCAGTGGAGAGAGCGATGGGAGTGGTGGGGAAGATGGCACTGGTGCGGCTGATGGTGGTATTGCAGCTAGGGTGAGTACTGCCAACGTGACAGTTAAGGGGGTGGTGGAGGGTCTACCAGTGTCTGTGCTATGCACGCCGTGGCAGCAGCTGGAAACCATCTCCCCAGGCGCCTCTCTCTACGAGGCTAGAAGGAGGCTCACAGCCCGCGGCATCCGGCAGCTGCCCATGGTGCTTCAGGTGGCGACGAGGAGAGGGGAGGGTAAAGGGGGCGAGGGGCAAGCAGGAGAAGGGAATGAGGAGGGAGAGGATGAGCGTGGGGTGGAGGGAGGCGGGACGATATTGGGGACGGATGAGGTTGGGAGGGAGACGAGGCAATTTGGGGATGGGGAAGGGAGGGAGGAGAGGGGGAGTGATTTGCTGCTGGTGGGGCTGTTGGATCGGGACGATATTGCACGAGCCTGCAGGTGGGTGTATTCGTCTTGCCATGTCATGCAGGTGGGTGTATTCGTCTTGCCATGTCGTGCAGGTGGGTGCAGGAGGGTGGATTGGCTTTGCCATGTCTTGTAGTCCGATCCAGACCTAATTGGCAGTGCATGAACGTGCAGGCAAGCGCAGCTGCTTTGTTCGATGCGCATTGGCCTTGTTTCCTGCGCCTATGCATCTCTCTCTCTCCATCCCCTCCTTCCGCTGCCCCCCTTCCAAATCCCCTTGTGCCCTCTCTGCCCCCCTCTTCTCTGCAGGGCCGAGGCAACAAAACGGCTGCTACAGCTGTAGTATCCAGCCGTTACAGCTCTACGGCTCAGCTGCTACAGCTGTGGCACACACATCTACCTAATAAGACTGCCAGGTCAACCACGGATTCGCTACTCATCACCATATCCCATTTTATAAATCAACGGACATGGTGCAAGAATAACAAAACAAATTATCACTATTATTGTACATAGTAACGCAATGTCAAGGACCAATTGGAGTTTCTGCCACTAGGAAATGGTCGCGGAGTGCCTCCTACAGCATGGCATTAAGGACTCGAATCTCTGTCTCCAAACTTCTTCCAGCTCCCGCCACAATCCTCTTCTCGTGCACCTCTGCATCCACCTGCTGCGCGGCACTCGACTCCTCCCTCCCCGCCACCTCATTTCTCACAGCCAGCAGCTCATTGGCAATGTCTCCCATGCTCGGCCGGCTTGCTGTTCGCTCCCCCGTGCACCGTAGAGCCAGCTCAGCCACCCGCAGCACAGCGTCCTCTGGAGATTCCATGGAGGGATCCTTGAGGTCTCCCTTGGTGCCCGCAGCCATGCACGCGTGCACCTGAATCATGGTACACAAACAAGAAGACTGAGGTCCATGCAATTTCGTGTATGGCGTGTTCCTATGGCCTCTTATCAGGCAAAGCTCTTGTCAGACTCGCGTCGCACTGCTCTGTAACACAAGTAATCGCATCCAATCACACTGAAAAGAAATGAACCACAGAAATCTGACAAGAAGTATGTCTGACAAGAGGCGTAGGAACACATCCTAAGTTGTCACGTGACTCTTTTGAGAATTCCCTAGAGCATATTTAACTTTACCCACTCGAGGATGTGGGTGGTCCTCTCGTGAATGTCAAGCGATGTAAACCAGAGAGAACCACAAGGATGAGCACTCCGAAGCTGCAGAGGAGGAAGAAATGAACAACGCACAATGCTTATGCCATTGAGTTCTGAATTGCACAGAGCCACGTGTAAGATTGTGACATCTTTAAAACTCTACACGAAGTAGCCCAAGTGTTGGCCACTTAAAAATAAAGGAAAGGAGGCTAGCAAAGTCACAAAGAGAGCATTGCTTGGCTTCTGATGACGCCTCGGAAAAGACGCAAAAAAGTGGCCGGTTCGCTCCTTGGCTGGATGTGCACGCATGCCATGCCATACAACATTGTGCTTGCAAGCCACAACCCATGAGTGGAGAAGAGCATAGCAACGGTGATGGTGTCCGTTGACTTTGAACTGTGTTCCTTGACCTTTGATCCGTCCAAAAGATTCATTGACCTGTACACATCAGTGGCGGTGGTGGCCTTGGAGGTTTTAAAATAGACAGGGTCGACATAGCCCGGTGTGCCCATCACTCGCATGGAACCCACTCGCGTGCCCTCTTCAATCCGCGCCAGCCCAAAGTCCGCTATCTTCGCCTGCAGAATGCAAGGTGATAGCAATGTCATACTCAAGAAGGGAGGTGATATTCAAGAAGCAAGGTGATACTTAAAAATCAAACTGATATTCAAGAAGCGAGTAGATATTCAAGATGTGAGGTGATATTCAAGATGCGAGGTGATATTCAAGATGCGAGGTGATATTCAAAATGCGAGGTGATACTCAAGATGCGAGGTGATACTCAAGATGCGAGGTGATATTCAAAATGCGAGGTGATATTCAAGATGCGAGTTGATATTCAAGATGCGAGGTGATATTCAAGATGCGATGTGATATTCAAGATGTGAGGTGATATTCAAGATGATGGGAAACAATCGCCGAGGTACTATGAGTGAAAGGCTACCGGAAATTGTTGTGCAGCAACGTTTGGATATGCTTGAGAGAAGAAAAAAGCTACTACATCTGAAAGTTGCTGTACTCACTTTGTTCGTTGCTAGCAAAACGCACAGGAGCGAGTTTGACTGCGACTAGAACCATGCCTGCATGTCAATTTTGCATGGCGTTCTGGAAATTTATGAAAGAACGAGCTGGAGCTTGCCTTCAAGTCATGGGTGATGAGAATGTTGGCGAGCTTGATGTCACGATGCATGATGCCTGTGCAGATACTCCAGGCCCCGTGCTGCTCCTGTCAAAATGCTTAGCCGCTGCTCCAGAGTCAGCCGAAATGGCGCCTCTGCAGACAGGAGGACGGCAGATGCAGACATAGCATACATCCCAGCAGGAGAACATTGCAGAAATGACGAGAGACACAGCATGAGTTGAGGAAGGATAACTACAGAAGTGCCTCAAGAGGGGGACACTGCAGAAACGGGAGCAACTGTGGTGCAGCATGCATTTTGCATGAAGATGTGGCGGCACGCAGGAGCAGTGGTGTGCGCAAAAGTTGGATGTCAGAATGTTATAGTGCTTACAGTTGTGTAGACTATAGTGGGGTGGCCCACAAGGGGTACAACCCAATTAGGGTTAGTACTTGTTCCCAACTTTCTGTTCAATGCAATCATTCTCGTTCATTCTTCTGATATGGTTTCAGAGCAGGTCCTTCGCCAGGACCGTTTTTTTCCTTGGGCCCACCACTGCGCTGCCCCACTAGCTGCCCCTAGCTACCCTCGTGCCGCACCTGCTGCCCCGCGCGCCGCCCTCGTGCGGCCCTTAGGCCCCGGCCCGTCGCCCGACGCCCCTAGGCCCCGGCCCGTCGCCCGTTGCCCCTAGGCCCCGGCCCGTCGCCCGTCGCCCTTAGGCCCGCGCCCGTCGCCCCTAGCCCCGGCCCGTCGCCCGACGCCCCTAGGCCCCGGCCCGTCGCCCGTCGCCCCTAGGCCCCGGCTCGTCGCCCGTCGACACCAGGCCCCGAGCGCGTAGCCCCTAGTACCGGCCCGTCGCCCTTCGCCCCTAGGCCCTCGCCCGACGCCCCTAAGCCCCAGCCCCGTCGACCGTCGCCCCTAGCCCCGGCCTGTCGCCTGACGCCACTAGGCCCGCGCCCGTCGCCCCTAGCCCCAGCCCGTCGCCCGTCGCCCGTCGCCCCTTGGCCCGTCGCCCCTAGGCCCCGGCCCCGGCTCGTCGCCCCTAACCTAGGCCCGTCGCCCGTCGCCCCCCCCTAGGCCCCGGCCCGACGCCCCTAGCCCCGACTCGCGCCCGTCGCCCATAGGCCCCGGCGAGCCCGTCGACCCCAGGCCCCGCGCGCCGCCTCTTGCGGCCCGCCCCTCCGCCTCTGCAGCCCGCGAGCCGCCCTTGCAGCCCCACGCGCCGCCCTTGGTGGCCCCCTAGCCGCCCCTGCTGCCCTGCTAGCCGGCCCTCTCTGCTACCTGCCCTGGTCCCTGCGCTGCCCACCTTCTGCTCGCCCTGCTTACTGCGCCACTATGGCTTCTCTCTGCGTTCTAGCGTTCGATCATGAGGGCCGCCCGATCCAGTTTGACACGTGGCTTGACGACCTGCAGCTGTACCTACTGAGCAACTCTAAGGACAGTGTTTCGTTGTTTGACCACACGTCTGGTGCTGCTCCCGCCCCTCCCGCCATGGCTAACAGTGCGACTCGCTCACAGTTGCTTACTCGTGATGCTGCTGCTCGCTTAGCCATTCGCAACCACCTGCCGTTAGCCGAATGCTTTGTCTGTAGTGTTGAGGGTGACTGTTACCTGTGTGTGCCGCCTGACCCAGGTATAGAGGCTGCTGCTCTAGGAGCTAGTGAGTCTGTTCTCCCTGGTACTGCGCCTGCTGAGGCCTTGCACACCTTCACACTTGACTCAGGTGCCTCACGCTGTTTCTTTCGCGACAGCACCACCCTCACTCCTCTCTCTGCACCTGTACCGGTCAGACTGGCTGACCCCTCTGGGGGCCGAGTCCTCGCCCGTTCCTCCACTCTGCTCCCGTGTCCGGCGGTTCCGTCCGGCTCACTGTCAGGTCTTCACCTCCCCTCGTTCTCTACGAACTTGGTGAGTACCGCTGCCCTCCAGGACGCGATGGTCACTACCACCACTCCTGGGGGTCAGCGTGTGTCGATCTGCACGCGTACACGGATGGGCCGTCACCTTGCCACGTTCACTCGTCGGCCAGGGTCGAGTCTGTACACACTGGCTACTAAGCCTCCTCAGGTAGCTGCGTCTGCCCAGGTGTCCACGTCAAGTGAGGTAGCACCCCCTTGCTCGTGTCGCCTCCTGTCGCACCAGACTCTTCTGTGGCACCACCGCCTTGGTCACCCCTCTCGGCCACGCCTTCGTGGCATGCACTCCCGCCTCCTTGTCTCTGGTCTTCCTAGGTCTCTGCCTCCCCTCCCGCCCTCGCCTGCCCCGCCCTGCCTTCCTTGCGTCGAGGGGCGGCAGCGCGCCGCTCCTCACTCCTCCTCGTTTCCCCCGATGACTGCTCCCCTGCAGACTCTCCACATGGACATGTGGGGCCCAGCCCGCGTCAGTGGACAGGGCCGCGAGCGCTACTTTCTGCTGGTCGTTGACGACTACACGCGGTACACCACGGTCTTCCCCTTGCGCAGCAAGAGTCAGGTCATTGATGTCTTGATCCCTTGGATCCGCGCAGTCCGTCTCCAGCTCCGCGAGCGTTTCCGCCAGGACCTTCCTGTCCAACGTCTGCACTCTGACAGAGGTGGTGAGTTCTCCTCCGACCTCTCGCGGGACTTTTGTCGTGGGGAGGACATTCTCCAGTCGTTCACGCTTCCGGACTCCCCTCAGCAAAATGGGATTGCTGAGCACCGCATTGGCTTAGTCATGGAGGTCGCTCGTACCTCCATGATCCATGCAGCTGCTCCCCATTTTCTGTGGCCGTTTGCGGTCCGGTACGCTGCGCATCAGCTCAACCTCTGGCCCTGTGTCTCCTTGCCGGAGACCTCGCCTACACTGCGTTGGAAAGGGAAGTTTGGCGATGCGTCAGGGTTACGGGTCTGGGGATCTCGTGCCTTTGTTTGCGATACGTCCGCGGACAAGCTCTCCGCCCGCGCTATTCTCTACATCTTCCTTGGCTTTTCCCTTGATGCGCCTGGCTGGCAGTTTTACCACCCCACCCCGCGCCGTGTCTTCCCCTCTCAGGACATCACGTTCGACGAGTCGGTTCCCTTTTACCGTCTCTTCCCCTACCGCTCTGCCCCTCCCCCGCCCCCGCCGCTCTTCCTTGCTCCAGCTCCTCCTCCGGTAGTCCCCCTCCCGCCCCAAGGGTTCTGCTCCCTCAGGTGTGTCTCAGGTAGACCCTCTCCCTGGTAGTGCACCTGTTGAGGTAGCTGTCGTCTTAGGTGCTGCTCGAGGTGCTGCGTGTGGGGTTGCTGCGTCTGGGGGTGCGGAGCCTGGGGGTGCTGAGTCTGACGGTGCTGGGTCTTGGGGTGCTGAGCCTGGGGGTGCGGAGCCTGCGGGTGCTGAGCCTGCGGGTGTGGAGCTTGGGGGTGCTGAGTCTGAGGGTGCAGAGTCTGGGGGTGCTGAGCCGAGGGGTACTGCTTCTTCTGGAGGTCCTGCGGGTGCTTAGCCACGATTGTCTCCCCGGCCGGAGCCTCTCTCCCCGCAGCAGCTGCGCGAGTGGTTTGCTCAGCGCACACGCCTTTGGAGTGGAGCTGCCGGAGCTGGAGACTCTGCCGTTGGAGACACTGGAGCTGGAGGTGCTGGAGTTACTGCTGGAGCTGGTGGTACCGGAGGTGCTGCACTGCTGGTCCTGGAGGTGCTCGTAGCAGGGGTACTGGAGCTGCCGAGACTGGTAGTGTTGGGGGAGCTAGAGCTGGAGACCCTACGGAGCCTGGAGTTGCTGGGGCTGGAGGTGCTGGAGCTGTTGGCGCTGGAGCTGGAGGCACTGGAGCTGGAGGAGCTGGAGCTGTTGACCCTGGAGCTGGAGGTGCTGGAGGCACTGTACGGCCACGACCGTACTTCATTCCACTGCTTCAGCAGGTTCTTGGTGTCCCGTATTCTACTGGCCTTACTCCTCCCTTACTGTGTCCACCGCCTGACCAGTCTCAGCAGCCGTTACAGCCAGCCTCCCCACTGCCTGCTCCTTCTCCTTACACTGAGCAGACCGGCGGTCTTACAGAGCGTCGTGAGCCTGCATCTCGTCCTGCCTCCCTTGTTTGCACTGCTCGTCGCGTTCCTCGTTCGCGTCCTCATCCTGTCCCCGGCATGCACGCTATGACACTTTGTCCTTCCTCTGTTCCATTGCGTGTTCCTCTGCCGCCTCTTCCTGGGTCCTCTCTTCCTGCCGTCCCTGACCCTGAGTCTGACCGCGCTCGTGCTGCCAGTCCCACTATCTCTTGTCTCCTCGCCACTGTTGTCACTGACCCTTCGTTTGAGTCCACTGCTGTGTCTGCCCTCGTTGCTGAGCTCGTTGACTTTGCTGCTGCCTATCGTCTAGACTACACCACTGCTCTTGTTGCTGAGTCTGAGTCTGCCAGTCCTCCGTCCGTCGGGGGTGAGTGTGCTCTTGGCACGGACGTCCTTGAGGACAGGCAGGAGGACTTTGAGTGTTTTGCAGCTGCTGTACCTCGTTTCGCTTCCATGCTGCTTGCCCCTGAGGGAGACCCGGATGCACCAGACATCCCGACCCCCCGCTCTTACGCAGAGGCGATTACGGGTCATTACTCCTCTTAGTGGCAGGCAGCCATGGATGCCGAGATGGCATCCTGGAAGTCCACAGGCACCTATGTCGACGAGGTTCCCCCACCTGGGGCGAACATAGTCGATGGCATGTGGATCTTCAGGGTGAAGCGGCCACCGGGTTCTCCGCCTGCCTTCAAGGCGCGTTACGTTGCTCGAGGCCTCAATCAGCGACAGGGGGTCGACTACTTCCAGACCTTCTCCCCCACCCCGAAGATGACTACTCTTCGGGTGTTGCTGCACGTCGCTGCTCAGCGTGACTACGAGTTGCACTCTCTGGACTTCAGTACAGCTTTCTTGCAGGGTAGTCTGCACGAGGAGATCTGGTTGCGCCTCCAACCACCTTCAACCACCTCCCACCACTCACTACTACTTCAATCCCTCCCTTCACATCTTGTCTATTCCTTCTTTCCACCCTCTCTACCTTTTCCTCTTATCCTTATTTCCTCCATCCCACCACTCCACTCCCCCCCAACTCCTCCTCCCCATTCTGGTCCTCGTCCCCTCCTCCCTGGCAGCGATGTGAGCATGAATCGCATCACAAGGTCGCTGCCACGTGGCATCTCCTCGCTCAGCCGGCTGACGTGGTTTGCAGTATCGCAGAATCAGATGTCGGGGGTGCTGCCATCCGGCCTTGGCAACCTCACCCGGATTCAGACCCTGTGAGATGTGGGCTGCTTCAAAGGGTTCAATGAAAAATCTTCTTCAAATAAGACCCGCATGATTGTATCACATTGCCATCTGCTTGCCACGCCGCTGCCACTGTCCACCGACGCTCTGACCACACCATTCTGCTTCCATCCCCTTCTGCCCCTGCCATTGCCCTTGCCTTTCCACCCCTGTGCATCGAAACGCTGTCACCACAACCCACCTGGGACATCAGGGGGAATGGCTTTCTAGGATCCATTCCCGAGAGCTGGGGCAATCTGCACAAGCTCGAGCTGCTGTGAGTCACAACAACGCTGCTATCCCTCTGAGTCAACCCGCTGCTAACCCTCTGAGCCACTCCGCTTCTGCCTCTGTAGGAGCCATTCAACAACCGAACTCCATGCTCTACCCACCTGGAACCCTAAACCTCAATCCAACACAATTCAACCTCACACTCTCTATCCGTTTCTCTTCCTCCTTATGACCCAGCACTGTCAAGCACCTCCTTTGCCCGATTTCTTTTCTCTCTTGATCAGCAACTTGGAGAAGATGAGTTTGAACGACTCGCTCCCAGACTCATGGGCCAACATGGCTTCTCTCAAGTACTTGGTTGTGCATAGCGCTGGCATCCACAGCCGCTTCCCTGCCTTCTCTGCCCTGCATTCTCTCAAGTACTTGGTTGCTCAAGCTCAGAAACATCTCCAGCTTGTGCGGTGCGGATGATGAGTGCATATGATTGTGCGTGCACATTAGGATGAGTGCATGTGATGGTGACTGCAGGTGAGGGTGAGTGCATGTGAGGATGAGTAAATGAGAGGGTGAGAGAACATGTGAAAGTAAGTGGATGTGAGGATGAGTGCATGGGGCTGTGACTGCATCGGTATGTGGTTTTGACTTGCAAAAAAAATTGCTTGCGGGTGCGGTTGTGTTATGGTCTTGTGTTGTGACTGAAACATGCTCGTGGGTGAGGCCTGCTCGTGAGTGAGGCATGCTCGTGTGACTGAGGCATGCTCGTGTGACTGAGGCATGCTCGTGTGACTGAGGCATGCTGAGGCATGCTCGTGTGACTGAGGTTTGCTCGTGTGACTGAGGTTTGCTCACGCCCTTCTGCACTCGTTACAAGGTCCAGCAAGCCACCTCTCGGCCCTTTTCATACATTTTCCTTACATCATCTCAATGCTGCCCCTCACCCCTGACCCCCCACCCCTCACCCCCCACCCACAGCATCCACTTCTTGCACCTCACAAGTACCACCCTCTGCCTGCTGCCTTTTGCTTTCTGCCCTCTGCCTCCAAAGTCTCAACAAGCTGTTGGGGCTTCTCCAAAGTCCCTTCCAGCCACCCATCCCCCGGTCCCCCCATCCCTCCTTCGCAGCAAGATCTACAGCAACGAGCTGTGGGGCCCTCTGCCTCCCACTGCTGATCTCTTCGCCCCCAAGTCCCTCACCAGCCTGTGAGCACCACACTCACCAGCCTGTGAGCGCCACACTCACCGGCCTGTGCTGTGAGTAGCACCAACTTCTCCTGTCTGTTAGTCCTTCCAATTGCTGCTAGCCTGCTAGGCTGGTGAGCGTTCTGTACCACCTCCCTCTCCCCCCCTCCACTTTCCACCTCAACATGGCTCCTGCTTCCCCAAATTTCCCTCACACCTCCAGGGATCTGAGCTTCAACTACCTCACTGGCAATGTGCCGCAGATGCCTGCCGCAGATGCTTGCTGCAGATGCCTGCTGCAGATGCCTGCTGCAGATGCCTGCCGCAGATGCCTGCTGCAGATGCCTGCTGGCCGCAACATCGAGTTCAAGTGAGTCCTGTCCCCGGGGAATGACGCTTGTGGGGGAATATTCCTTTTCAAGGGGAGTGCTCCGTAGTGAAACCCTGAAGTCTGACTTTGCTGGGTGGGCTTGCGAAAAATGGGTTGTTGGGACCAGGGGCCTCTTTAATTTCATCACTCTCTCCTTCTCAGCATGCCCTCACTTTCCTATTCCCCCCTGGCCTGCTTTTCCCGCCTCGGGTTCTTCACCAACTGCTTCCACAGAGCAGCAGGTGCAGGTGCAAGCACCTTGCTGGGGGACAAGAATCCACGGTCCACCACAGATTGCACATGATTCTACTCCACCCTCGACCAAGGTTTGGTGACGCCCTTCCATCCTCAAGACACTCTGCTGCATCCGTCTCGTACTCATCCCTGCCCTTTTATGGCGTGCCATACCATGCTATGCCATGCCCAGCCCTGCTCTGCACACTGCCATGCCCTGAATGGATCTTCCCTCTCACCTTGTGCTGGAAAATTGCTTACATTGCCTGAAACCTTTCTCTCTCCCTGCCACACTCACCGTGCCTTGCGCCACCATCTCGTACACTACAATCTCGCTCCCTACCTTTCTCCATGCGTCCTCCTCCCCTCTGTGCTTCTCCCAGCACTTCACAGGGAGAGCACCAACGCCTGCCCTCCTCTCCACTTCTCCCGCTGGTCCTCCCACATCCAACACCACTGCCACCACCAGCCCTTCTCCCCCCACATCCCCCTCACCTTCCCTTTCACCATCCCCCTCCACCACGCCCTATGCCTCCTCCCCCGCCTCCTTAACTAAGCCCAGCAGCAGCCTTCGCCCACCTACCCTCTACCCTATGGCCGCCTACCTGCTGGTACTGCTGGCTGCTGCTATGGGGTGAGAGGCGGGTGGGGGGAAGGGGGGGTTGTGGGAATTAGGGTAGGGCGGAGGTCTGGAGTGGAGGCTGGGTTGTGTAAACATACTAAAATGGTACCAAGGTTGCTCTGTTTGCCTCAAAATCAGTGGTTCCTTCACCCTGCCTTTTTGTAACCTCACTCATGACCACAAGCATGACCTTTGAGGCGCCTCAAAATTCGTGTCTCTACCCTTTTTGTTAAGGAGGCGGGGGAGGAGGCGCTTCAAACTCAAAAGTCGTGTCTCCACCATATGAAGGAAGGGAGAGCAGAGAGAGTATAGGTAGATGCCAGGGAGGGAGCGGAAGAGAGGACTTAACAGGAAAGGAAAAGGAAAGGGACATGGGGGGAAGACGAAAGATAATGAGAGCAGAGGAATGTGATTGGGAAGAAGGAATGTGAGGGGAAAGGGGAGCGGAACGAAGATGATGAGAGCAGATGAATGTGGTTGGGAAGACGGAATGTGAGGGGAAAGGGGGAGCGGAGAACAGAGAAGGTGTTATACTGGAAAGAAAATGTCATGCAATCAGCAAAGCTAAGGAGACTGCTCTCATTGAGAGTTGAACTCAAGACCTCCCGCTTACTAAACGGGTGCTCTAACCAACTGAGCTATGAGAGCTGGTTCCAGGATCATTTGAAACATGTTCGGCTAGTGACTGTGCGACATGCTTCTCATTATGAGCCAAGTCACCCTCTCTCCCCCACCCACCATGAGCACGTTTCAGCTGCAAATGCAAATGGAAAAAAACGGGAGGGAGGAGAGGGGTGTTGAGAGAAGAGGCAGCCAGCTTCTGCTGCTTCGCTCTTCTCTCCCATGCCTGCTTGCCTGCTGCCTCCACCAAATGGAAGGTCCATACCCACTCGCCACTGGCTGCCTCTATCCTTCACCGCCTCCACTGTAGCTGGTGCTGTGAGCCATGGCTCTGCCATGCTGGTCGGCCAAGTGTTTTAAATATCTCTTGAAGGCTGGCTCTTCACGAGTCTCAGGGTGCTGTTGGTGCGGGAATGGAAAGGTCAGAGGGGAGGGAAGAAGGTCGGGGCTTAATTGTCAGAGAGGAGGGCGGAGGTGGAAGACAGGCGATGATGGCGTTGCAGGCCTGCAAAGTAGCAGTGCAGGCCTCCAAACTAGCATTGCAGGCCTGTAAACTAGCATTGCAGCGATGAGAGGCAGCGCTGGAACGAGACACATGGGAAGCGGTGCTCATGCTCAGTCTGCCTCGTCGGCAAAATAGTGCAAAACCACAGTACTGGGTGCAGGTTGGCGAAGAATCAAACAGAGACAGGCATGATCAGTACCAATGGATGGAAGACGAGGGATAGGGTGAGGAAATGATTCGGATATTTCCGCCTACTCAGCTTCTCTCACCTCTGCATTGGTACGTGACCCTGCGTGCCGTCAAATGAAAAGCCATCTCCACAATCTCATATCCATGGCTCCTGCTACCTTAAACCGCCCTCCCTCCCTAGCTTTCGTAAAACCTTCGTCTCCATCTTCTCCCCTAGTCCCTCCTACTTCGAAGCCAGTTCTCACCAATTGTCGCTCGTCCCCTCCATACCTCTGTTTTCCTGCTCTCACTGCTGGTAAAGATCAGGTGCTATTGGTGTGGAAGGGGAAGGCAGGGGGGGATGGGAGTGGGGCAAGTGGCGAAGTGGGTAAGAACATACTGGTGAGCGAGGAAGGGGGAATAAAAGATAGCTCATGTAGTCTCGGTGAATCTGCCACGCTGCCATACTGTGTCTCCCAGTGTTTGAGATGGGTCCTCAGTAGTTCAGGATAGTGCTGTTGATGTGGGAAGGGGAGGAGGGGAGAAAGAGTGCAGAGCGAGGATGGGGGAGGTGGGTAAACGACATATGATGGTATTGCGGGTGAAACGGCAGCTAAGCTGGAAAATACTTATGTTCGCTGGCGTATACATGCTGTACGAGGATACGCTTTGAAATACGCTAATTTTTTCTCAGGCTGCCGCCCCCCCCCTCCCCTAAAAAAAACCCAGAAATCTTGAGTTGGCGACACACGTCGCGAACTCAAAAGTAAACTGTCGAATTTGTTGATTCAAAAGGCAGCACTCAGATTTATGGCATCTCATCAGAAAGTAGTGCCAGAAATGATGTACGAAGTGCTAAAAATGGGAGGGTGCAAACAAAGAAATATACAAAGGTTTAAAGCTCCTTCGTGGAGAAGTTGCCTTCTAGCTTGCTCCACCCACCTCCGCGTTTGGCACCCTAACGCTGATCGACATGCTGCTGCCGGGCATGGGAGGAGAATCATAAGCTGAGATACCGTCAGCTGGGAGCCCCCACATTCTACCTGCTGGCACGCTGCAGCAGTGCATCCGCCCACGGAATACACGGCAGTGAGAGCTAGCACTGGAATAAGACGCACGGGATTATATATTTAGGTACATTTTGCCGCGTCAACAAACTGGCATCAAAACCACCATGATACCGGGCGAGATAGGCGATGACACACCGAAAGGAAGGCAGGCCCAGACGCTCGTCACATATTTTTCATCCCAAAAAACATGTTAACAGCAAGCATTCTTTCTTGCCAAGCAATGGATGGAAGAAGTTAGAATGGAGCACATTAGGATCAGAATCCGCAGCCATTGGGATGGGGCAGGGCGACTGGGCCATCCCATCCGACTCGGCCTCTCACCTCCGTGTGGGACCCCCAGCACCCGGCATCCCCACACGGAGCTGAGACCAACACGCTGCCACACCCCATCGCATGACAACATGCAATGAGCAGCGCACAGCTAACCCCATGCTGCCACTATGTCATACCCACGGCTTCCGCTGCTGACACGCCTCCCTCTTGACCCACCCGCCTCCATCCACTCACCAGAGTCCGGTGTCATTGCGACCACCGCTGCTGCTGCTGCTGCCCGTGGCTCTGCCATGTGGCCCGGCTGTATGTCGCAGCAGATTTTGAGGCGCCTCGAGGGCGATCAGCTGGGCCCAGTACATTGCGGGAGCTGTTGGTGTGGCAAGGGGAAGGGAGTAGGGGGGGTTTGGGCGAAAGCTAAGAAGGTAGAAGTTTGCTGCTGACCGAGGGGGGGGGGGGAGTGGAAGATTGCTGATGGCATTGCACTCGGGAAGGTAGCGCCGCTCGCATTCATTCTTTCACGCATGAGCGCGGACATGGAAGGCGCAAGGGAATGACATAGAAAGATTGAAGTTTCCCCCTGATTGAATTGAAGTCCCTTGGACATTATGGCAAAAGCGCCTTCCTTAAACCTAAGTGAGAGTGACCTGAGAGTGTTCCACTGATGACCCATGATTAGCTCACGTTCTTCACACCACCCACGCACCCTCTTCACCCACGCACCCTCTTCACCCACCGATGACCCGCAGCAGTGACCCGTCACAGCCCACACATCCCTCCTCGCCCCACGCACCACCATCTCCCGCTGCTCCTCACTGAAGAAGGGAACCGCTTCAGGACACCCAGCAGCCTAGCCCAGCCTCACCCCACACGTGACAGCTAGTAACTCATGATGAGTACCAAGCAGCCCGCTACCCCATCCACAGCCACAACGCATCGCTTCCTCCTGCTGCTCGTCTGCTGGGGAACAGCACCGTCATGGGGCAACCAGCAGCAGCTACCTGCCTCTCGCACACCTCCGCCACGTCATCAGCTTCCGCACAGGTTGCCCCGATAATAGTGCGCCTACGCCAGAGGGTCGGTGAGTCCTTGGGCAGAAGGTGGTGAATCCGTGAGGGAGTGGGCGTCGGTGTAGGGGAAGAATGCGTGGAGCTGGGGGCAGTGGGGAAGGGGAGAGGGGAGAGTCGTGTGTGATAAGTCGAGGTATTGAGTCGACTCAAAACTCGACTTATCGCACAAGGTGGTGAATCCGTGAGGGAGTGGGCGTCGGTGTAGGGGAAGAATGCGCAGAGCTGGGGGCAGTGGGGAAGGGGAGAGGGGAGAGTCGTGTGTGATAAGTCAAGTTTTGAGTCGACTCAAAACTCGACTTATCGCACAAGGTGGTGAATCCGTGAGGGAGTGGGCGTCGGTGTAGGGGAAGAATGTGCGGAGCTGGGGGCAGTGGGGAAGGGGAGAGGGGAGAGGGGCGCAAGAGTGAACAGCACAGTGGTTTATTAGAGGTGTACGGAAGACAGTGCCGTAGGGGCACCAGACCGTGCAGAGGAAAAGAGTCTGTGCCGTGGGTCCAGCAGACGGTGCAGGAGAAGCAGGTGCGGGGAATGAGAATCCTCCAAAATCGCTCACGAGAAGCAGGTGCGGAGATGAGAGAAGTGGCGGGAGGGAGTGGGTGCAGTGGGGCAGGCAGATGTCAGCAAGGAGTTAAAGGTGCGGAGGTGGAGGGGAGTGGAGTGGGGAGCGACGGAGTAGGGAAGGAGGGCATGAACGCCATGGTGGGAAGGATAGCAGGGAGGGTTCAGGTAGGCAAGCGACAAGTGGGCGGGTAGGAGACGCGGGCGCACAGCTGGGGGGGCAATCCTTACTTTCCTGGCAACGGCGCCACTGGCAGTGGTGCAGCGGTGGGTGCGAGGCATCATCCCAACGAGGCATTATCCTGACGAGGCATTATCCCGGCAAGGAGATGTGCAGTGATCAGCCGGCTTGACACCCGTGCGTGGTGATGCCTGCACACCTCACACCTCACATCGCACACGCACACCTCACATCGCACTCACACATGGCAGGCCCAGCCATTCAGATGGAGTGCGTGCATTCGCAGTAGGAGGCTGCGGTCAGGGGAGGGGTGGGGGAGGGGGAGGGAGAAAATGAAATGGAAAGGGAATGGGGTATAGGTAAATGGAGGGGGTGCGGGAAGGGAGAGTGAGTAAGGAGGAAGGGGAGGGGTAAAGGGAGGGAGAGGGGTCATAGGGAAGGGGGAGGAAAAGGGGTAAGGGAAGGGGAAGCGGAAAGCGGTACGGAGAGGGGGAGAGGGCAAGCGTAAAGGCAGGGGTAAAGGGAGGGGGGTTGGGTTAAAGGTGCGGGAGGGGTTGAATGAAAGGTGGGCTCGCAAGGGGAAAGAGAGGGGGCAGGAGGAGGGATTGAGATGGTTCTGAAATTGGTGCATTGGCAAGCGGTGTGGCAGTGCGAGTGGGTGGAATGGAAGGGTGTGAGAACAGCAAGCAAGAGGTGGGCAGAGCTGGATGGGTCAGGGATGAACGGAGGGGTGGGAAGGGAGGATTTGGGGCATGAGTGAGTGGGAGGGGAGAGTTGCAAGGTGTTGAGGAGGGTCCTCTACAAGACTACAACTCCCCTCGGAGCTACGAAGCGTCTTTTATACCTTCCGCCAGCCCCATCAGCAACCCTCCCTTCAACGGTCCCTCACAGTCCTTGGAGTAACTCTCACACATATTCCTGTCCCATGGCGACACCTCATCGCCTCTAACACCTCGCCTCTCACACATCGCAACGCCTCTCACACATCGCAACGCCTCTCACACATCGCAACACCTCTCACACATCGCAACGCCTCTCACACATTGCAACGCCTCTCACACATCGCAACGCCTCTCACACACAGCCTCTAACACACAACCTCTCACACACATCAGCCTCACCCCCCATCTACCCCCTTGGCGAATTCGAGCTTGTCAATTCCCCACCAGCCCATCAACAGCACCCCCTTCGCGCCCCTCACCCGCCCTCCACCGCCCTCGCTACGCCGCCGACCCTACACCCCCCCAACGCCGCCGAACCTACACCCCCCCACAGCCACCGACCCTACGCCCCCACAACGCCGCTTGCGCTGCTTGGAGGCGTCCCAGCCACCCGCTCATCGCCTGCCGCAGCGCCTTGTTAGAATAGTGAACGAATGAATGACTGAACTAGCAAGCAGGTGGGTACAAGTGGGAAACCTAAAAGTGTTGTACCCTATATGAACTACCCCACTACAGCCTAGATAGACTATAGCATATAAGTTTGACACACCCCCATAGGCAAAGTGGGGGAGAACAAGAGGTCACAAGACCAGTCAAGAAAGGCAAAGCAATCTCAGGGTGGATCACAAAGTCACCACGCAGTCTGAGCACAAGCAAATGGCCACAAGGCCAGGTCACATGCAGAGTTATATAAAGGAGAACAAGCAATACGGTGAACACAACCTAGCAAGTGTAAGCATGCAGGTATATGTATAGAGAGTACAGTACAAACAGAGTCAAGAAGTAAGCAAGTGAGGCACAGTAGGTACAAGGCCTAGAACAGTACAGAAACGCTGATGATCACAAGGCTGAAGTGCCTTGGTGAAAACATCAGCAGTGTTGGCCTGAGAGGCCACGTAAGCAAGACGAAGCTGACCACGGTGCTGCAACTCTCGAGCAAGGAAGTAGCGCAGAGCAATGTGCTTCGTTCTGTGCTCCAGTCTGTGCTCCTGACACAAGGCAAGCATGGCCTTGTTGTCGACGTACAGAACTGGAGGAGAACGAGGCGCCTCTCCCAAGTCGGTCAGCAGGTAGGTGAGCCAGCGTAACTCCTGTGCAGCCATGGCCCCAGCATAGATCTCAGCCTCACAATTGGAGCTGAGAACAGAATAAGAGCGGGTAGACCACCAAGAGACAGAACTGGAGCCAAGATTGAAGGTGTAACTCTGTGACGACCGCTGCGTAGCCAAGTCGTCAACCCAAGAAGCGTCTGCGTGACCAGTGAGGACAACTCGAGCCCGTCCTCCAAGCACGAGCCCCATGCCCGACGTACTGCACAAGTAGCGCAACACCCTCTTCGCAGCATCCCAGTGCACCTTTCGGTGCCTACCGGGAGCCATGTAGCGTGCCAGAAGGCTGAGAGGGTATGCGAAGTCAGGTCGTGTGCAAGTCATCAGGTACATGAGGCACCCCACAAGCTCTGGAAACAGGCCACTCGGTGTCAAAAATATATGCTTAGTTATATCTAGGCTTAGTTTATGTGTTCACAGTTGTCTAGGCTATAGTGGGTTTAGCCTTAGGGGGTACAGTTTTCTCTCGACATTCTACTTGTACCCCTCGTCACTTCCTAGTAAATCATTCTCGCCTATTATTCTCACATGGTATTAAGAGCACTACCTTCCTAGGATCCTAAAATTAATGGGCCCACCACCTAAGTAACTGCTAGCCTAGGCCCCGTGGCGTCGCCCATAGCCCCTAGGCTCGACCCCTTGGCCTGTGGCCCCTAGGCTCGGCCCCTTGGCCCGTCGCCCCTAGGCTCGGCCCCTTGGCCCGTCGCCCCTAGCTCGGCCCCCCTCGGCCCCGTCGCCCCGTCGATTTTGTCGCCCGCGCCCGGCCCGTTCCTAGTCTCGCGATCGGCCCGTACCTAGCCTCGAGCACGGCCCCGTTCCTAGCCCCGCGATCGGCCCGTACCCGCCCCGCGATCGGCCCTTACCCTTCCCGCGCTCGGCCCCGTTCCTAGCCCCGCGCCCGGTCCATACCTAGCCTCGCGACCGGCCCGTACCTTGCCCACGCACGGCCCCGTCTCTCGTCCGCGCTCGGCTCGTACCTAGCCCCGCGCCCGGCCCGTACCTAGCCCAGCGCACGGCCCCGACCCTAGCCAGCGCCGGATCCGTACCTAGCCCGCGCCCGGCCCTGTCTGTCGCCAGCGCCTGGCTCCGTACCTAGCCCGCGCCCGGCCCAGTACCTAGCCCGCGCCCGGCCCCATTCCGCGCCCAGCGCCCGAGCCCGTACCTGCCCAGCGCCCGGCCCCGTACCTGCCCAGCGCCCGGCCCAGTACCTTCCCAGCGCCCGGCCCCGTACCCGCCCAGCGCCCGGCCCCGTACCCGCCCCGCGCCCGGCCCGTACCTAGCCTCGCGACCGGCCCGTACCTTGCCCACGCACGGCCCCGTCTCTCGTCCGCGCTCGGCTCGTACCTAGCCCCGCGCCCGGCCTGTACCTAGCCCAGCGCACGGCCCCGACCCTAGCCAGCGCCCGGATCCGTACCTAGCCCGCGCCCGGCCCTGTCTGTCGCCAGCGCCTGGCTCCGTACCTAGCCCGCGCCCGGACTAGTACCTAGCCCGCGCCCGGCCCCATTCCGCGCCCAGCGCCCGAGCCCGTACCTGCCCAGCGCCCGGCCCCGTACCTGCCCAGCGCCCGGCCCAATACCTTCCCAGCGCCCGGCCCCGTACCCGCCCAGCGCCCGGCCCCATACCTGCCCAGCGCCCGGCCCCGTACCTGACCTGCGCCCGGCCCCTTGTTTGGCCCCGTGGCCCCCAGGCCCCTTGTTTGGCCCCGCGGCCCCTAGGCCCCTCGGCCCCACCTCAAAGCCTGGTGCCCGGCCCCCAGGCCCCTTGTTTGGCCCCTCGGCCCCCTAGGCCCCTCGGCCCCCCCCCCTAGGCCCCCTGGCCCCTTGTTTGGCCCCGCGGCCCCTGGTTTGGCCCCTCCGCCCCCCCTAGGCCCCCCGGCCCCCTGTTTGGCCCCGCGGCCCCTAGGCTCCTCGGCCCCACCTCAAGGCACGGCGCCCGGCCCTCCCGGCCCCTGGTTTGGCCCTTCGGCCCCCCCTAGGCCCCCCGGCCCCTTGTTTGGCCCCGCGGCCCCTAGGCTCCTCGGCCCCACCTCACAGCACGGCGCCCGGCCCCCCCCCGGCCCCTTGTTTGGCCCCTCGGCCCCCTAGGCCCCTCGCCCCCCCCCTTAGGCCCCCCGGCCCCTTGTTTGGCCCCGCGGCCCCTAGGCCCCTCAGCCCCACCTCAGAGCCCGGCGCTTGGCCCCCCGGCCCCTTGTTTGGCCCGGCCCCCTAGGCCCCTCGCCCCCCCCCTAGGCCCCCCCGGCCCCTTGTTTGGCCCCGCGGCCCCTAGGCTCCTCGGCCCTACCTCACAGCACGGCGCCCGCCCCCCCCCCCCGGCCCCTTGTTTGGCCCCTCGGCCCCCCTAGGCCCCTCGGCCCCCCCTAGGCCCCCCGGCCCCTTGTTTGGCCCCTCGGCCCCCTAGGCCCCTTGGTCCCCCTAGGCCCCCCCCCCGGCCCCTTGTTTGGCCCCGCGGCCCCTAGGCTCCTCGGCCCCACCTCACAGCACGGCGCCCGGCCCCCCCCCCGGCCCCTTGTTTGGCCCCTCGGCCCCCTAGGCCCCTCTGCCCCCCCCTAGGCCCCCGGGCCCCTTGTTTGGCCCCGCGGCCCCTAGGCCCCTCGGCCCCACCTAAGAGCCCTGCGCCCGGCCCCCTGTTTGGCCCCTCGGCCCCTATGGCGTCGCTTCGAGTTCTCCCGTTCGACCCGGAGGGCAGACCTGTAGCATTTGACACGTGGCACGATGATCTGCAACTGTACCTACTGAGCGATAGTCGGGACAGTGTCTCACTATTTGACCACGTGTCCGGTGCCGCTCCAGCCCCTCCCGCCACAGCTGACGTTTCGACTCGTTCCCAGTGGCTGTCTCGTGACGCTACTGCCCGCTTGGCCATTCGCAACCACCTGCCCGCAACAGAATGTGCTCACTTTGGCGAGCACAGGACAGCACAGGCCTTGTACGACGCTGTCGTTGCTCGCTACTCCTCCCCTGCCACTGCTGCTATTGGCAGACTGCTACTGCCCTACCTGTTCCCTGAGCTGTCGGCTTTTGCCATAGTAGCCGACCTGGTTACCAACCTGCG